CTCAGTCTCCTCCTGTGCAAAATAGAGGTAGTAATAGTATCCATCTCATGGCATTTTGGGTGTATTTAATCATTCCTCCCTTCAGCATGACTGCCCCTGCCTGGCCCTCTCCTGGGTGGTGCTGGTGACACAGCAGTGACTGAGATTGCCCCAGCCCTGTCCTCATGAGCTCATAGTCTTATGCAGGGGGGAACATTTGTTCCCATACAGTGACAACCAGAGTGGAAAAGACTGGGATGGAATTACTTAGGGGACTCCGATTGCCCAGAGTGGGGCAACTGACCCTGCCTTAGGTATCAAGGAGGGCTTCCTGGAGGAAGGGACAGCTGACCTGAGGATGGGAGGATAACTAAGCAGTTCTCCAGGGAACTGGTTAGAAGTGAAGCAGCAAGTGCAAAGGCCCTGAGGCAGGATTGTGCCTGGGATGCTTCAGGAACAACAAAGAGGCCAGAGTAGCTAGAAGTGGATTTGAGTCTTGTTCTGATTATGATGTAGACATCTATTTGCCTTGGTTGGGCAAGAACCAGAACAGCTCAGCAACTTCCTAAGTGGTCTCTAGAATGAATTCTTAATTAATTTCTTATTTGTAATGGATTACTTTGTATGCCCCTGGTATCTCCTGAACAGACAGCTACGGCGTGGACAAGAAGCGGAAGCGCGGGATGCCTGACGTCCTTGGGGAGCTGAATAGCTCTGGTGCGTCCCATCTGCCCCTTTCCACATCCCTCTCCAGGTCCCTAGGAGGGGGTGACTGATCTCATCTTCCTGTCCTACCCTAGGCTGGGGAGGAGTGGTGGGGCTATGGGGTCCAGGGGTTCTCATCTCTTCTTTCCCTCAGACCCCCATGGCATCGAGAGTAAACGGCGGAGGAAAAAGCCGGCCTTCCTGGATCACTTTCTGCCCAGCCACGGCTCAGGTGGGTCCTGACTCAGGGCAAGCCCAGCCTCTGAGGTGGGCTGAGGGTGGGCTGCAGCCCTTTTTTTCTGGCCTCTTCTAGCCCCTAAGAGCTCCCACACGGCCAGTGACTTACCACTTGGCCAGCAATGTGAAGTGGAAAGAATAGCGGTTCTGGATACTGTCCTGAGGCACCAGGCCATTTACTTGCTGTGACCTTCACCAAGTTGCTCCACATCTCAGAACCTCAGGGCTCCTCTGAAAAGTATCAGCCCACACCTCTTCACTGGCCTTTTACAATTTAATATATTTATTTTTCCAGACACTGTATAATGAGCACATTACTGCTTTGTGTGTGCTTACTAACTTCATCTGTGCAATCACCCCCCCAAGGTGGGTGTTGTTATCCCCCGCAGCCCCACCCCCATTTTACTGGTGAAAAATCTGAGGCCCAGAGAGGTGAAGTCTCTTGCCCAAAGTCACACAGACAGTCTGTGGTAGGGCAAGGAGTTGCACCAGGGTGTAGGTTTAGATTAGTGATGATGGATGTGAAACGGGTTGCAGGGAGTAGACGGTGGATAAATGGAGGTGGTCGTCAGAGCCAGCCTTGAACTCAGTCACCGTCTGGCCTGTTCTACCCCTGCTTTCCTCTCAACTTGCATGCCAGCCTCCAGTTCCACCCCTATCTGGCTGCTATCCAAAGCCTCCCCACTTGCTGACCACTAGCTCTGAGAATGCTGTCCCCAACACTCCAGCTACCCCATGGTATCCAGCTCCTAGCCAGCCACCAGCCACTCAGAGTCTGCTGAGCCCAGACCACTCCAGCCAGTCCCACCCTGGAGGTTTCAAGTACCCCCTGTTGTCCCCTCAACCCTCTGCAACGGTAACCAATGCCCAACAGCTGTGCCCCTAGAAACCCTCAATCCTAGTCCATTTCACCAAACTTCAACCCCCAATCCTTCAACCCCCTGAAGCCCCTCCTCATCAGCCACCTGACATTCATCCACCTGCTCTGTCACCCCAATTTACCGGTGTCTAAAGTCCCCCTCTCTCATCCTTCTGCCAGATCAGCCATGGCTCTGTAGTGTAATGATTAGGAGCATGGCCTCTGGAATCAGACTGGGTTTGAATTCTGAGGCTACAATTTAGCCACTGTGTGATTTCTTTGGGCCTCAGTTCACTTAACTTTCAGATGGAGACCTACCTCTTAGGATCCTTTCCAGAATTTAATGTGGTCACATCACACAATTGTTTATCAGCACAGTGGCTGGCATAGAGTTGTGCCCAGGAGATGTAAAGAACTTGCCAGAAACCAGGAATGCCACCTGCATTTGTTATGATCATGTTTGATTGCCTTCACAGCAAAACCCAAAGTAACAGACTTCAATAGGATAGAATATTATTTCTCCTCTCACATAAATAGAGTCCAGTGGTAGGTGGTCCAGGAACAGTTTGGTGGCTGCATGACCATCAGAGACCCAAGCTCCTGCCATTTTCAACTCACAGTTTCCACCTCATGTTCCAAGGTGGCTGCTGCAGCTCCAGCCATCATTGCCACATTTCAGCCAGCAAAACTTAGTCACATGACCACATTAAGCTGCAAAGGAGGCTGGGAAATTTGAGTCCCAGCAGCACTGTGTCTCTGCAACAACTGTAATCAGCCTTTGCTGGTGAGGTTTGTCTTCTCTCAAAAAGAAAATCTCCCATAATAACACTTATGTTCTTACAATTTTGGGACTGGTGACTTCTCACTTGGGTCTCCCATGGCACAGAGATTTCACTTTTGGGGTTGTCTCTATATTCTGGGGGGCTCTGGGGCCTCCTCTTCTTCCTCATTCTTGGGGATAAACTCCCTAGCATTGCAGGAGCATGATTTCATCTCTGGTTGCACAGCTCGCCCGTTGACTGCAAATTATTTTGCCTGTCTGCTTATTAAATGAGAATGATTCTATATTTTTTTGAGGAATCTCTATACTGCTTTCCACAGTGGCTGTATCAATACATTTACACTCCCACCAAAGCATATGGGGATTCCCTTTTCTCCACATCCTCACCAACATGTTATTTATTATTTGTGTCTTTTTGATGATAGCCATTCTGACAGGTGTGAGGTGGTATCTCATTGTGGTTTTAATTTGCATTTTACTGATGATTAATGATGTTGAGCATCTTTTCTAGTGCCTGTTGGCCATCTGTATGTCTTCTTCCGAAAAATGTCTATTCAGGTCTTTTCCTCATTTTTCAATTGGGTTTTTTTTTTTGATGTTTAGTTGTATCAGCTGTTTATATATATTTTGGATATTAACCCCTTATCATGATATTGTTTGCAAATACCATATGACCCAGCAATTACACTCCTGGGTATATAACCAAAAAAAAAAAGAAGACACTAATTTGAAAAGATACATGCATCCCAATGTTCATAGCAGCATTATTTAAAATAGCCAGGATATGGAAGCAAACTAAGTGTCCTTCAACAAATGAATGGATAAAGATGTGGTATATATAAACAATAGAATACTACTCAGCTGTAAAAAATGAAATTTTGCCTTTTGCAACATGGATGGAGTTGGAGGGTATTATGCTTAGTGAAATAAATCAGATGGAGAAAGATAAACACTGTATGATATCGCTTATGTGTGGAACCTAAAAAAATACGACAAACTAGTGAATATCACAAAAAAGAAACAGACTCACAGAACAAACTAGTAGTTACCAGTGGGAGAGGGCAGGGGGGAGGGGCAACACAGGGGTAGGGGATTAAGAGGTACAAACTATTAGGTATAAAATAGCTACAAGGATATATTGTACGAGGAATATAGCTAATATTTTATAATAACTATAAATGGAGTATAACATTTAAAAATTGTGAATCACGATGTTATACACCTGAAACATAACAACACTGTACATCAGCTATACCTCAATTTAAAAAATTGTAACAACAACAAAAAAATAAGAATGGTGATAGTCCCTATTCAGAGTTTCTCCGTGACATTTAAGGAGGCCACACAGATAATGCATTTAGCACCAGACGGGGCATTTGAATTAGGACCTGGCCGGAGGTTGACTCTAAAGCCCACCACACTTCCATCTTTCTCGTCATCCCTGCAGGACCGTTCCTCCCGCCGTCAGCGCTGTTGCCAGACACAGATTTCTTCCCGGGCACCGTGTCCCTCCCCGGCTTGGAGCCCCCCGGCGGGCCAGACCTCTTGGACGATGGCTTTGCCTACGACCCCGCTGCCCCCACGCTCTTCACCATGCTGGACATGCTGCCCCCAGCGCCGCCACTCACCACCGCTGTCGCGGGCAACGGGGGTGCAGGAGCCGCGGTCGGGGAGGCCCCCGGCCCCGAGCCGCTGACTCTGGACTCGTACCAGGCCCCGGGCCCCGGGGATGGAGGCACTGCCAGCCTCGTGGGCAGCAACATGTTCCCCAACCAATACCGCGAGGCGGGCTTTGGCGGCGGCCTTCTGTCCCCGGGGCCTGAGGCCACGTAGCCCCCGCGGCGCTGGAGGAGAGGCGCTGGGTGGGCAAGGAGGTGGAAGGGGCCTTGCGAACCCAACCAGGATGTCCAGCACCCCCGTCCCCTTTGTGCTGCCTTTGGTTAGTCTTCCGACGTCCTCATCCTTCGGAATCGGACATCTTCAGCGGTGGCGTGAAACTCCGTAGCATCGGTTTCCCCTGAGCCCATTTTACAAATGAGAAAACTGAGTCTGGAGAGGAAAAGGGGCTTGGCTCCTTTGCACTAGCTTCTTAAAGCTGCCTCAGCTCCCACAAGTGGGGGCACCTTCTCTAGGCGGATTCTGAAGTGTACATATGGGAGGAGGTTGCAGATCCTCACCCCTCCTTCCCCAGGTCTGAAGGTGGGGGGTAGGTTGTTTGTTCAGAGTCTTCCCAATAAAGATAAGTTTTTGAGCCTTGGGGGGGATCTCGTCTCTTCTCCGCTTCAGAAACACCCACAGTTCCAACTTACAAAGTCTCCAGGCTCTCCTTCCGCTCCGCTATTTCGACCTTCAAGCCCCGCCCCTTCCTCCACACCCTACCCTAGACCCCGCCTCTCGCGTCTGCGGAAGCGCCCTCCGCCACGCACCGCACCTTCCCCTTACTCAGCCGCCCAGTTCCGCTTCCGGTGCGGGCCGCGCGCGAGCGCAGCGGTGGGAGGCGGCGACGAGCCGGTGAGTGCAGGCGGCGGGCCTTGACCTCCCAGCTTCGGGCGACGTCAGGCCAGCTTCGCCCTCGCCTCGGCCTCTCCCCTGTCTGCTGTGAGATTCTGCCTGGCCCCGGTCCCGAGGGCCGCCCGCCCTGCACCTCCTCGGCCTACCGGGCCTCAGGCCGCGCCCTGCGCCCGCCGTCGGACCGAATTCGCCGCGTCGGACCCGCTGTTTGCCACAGGTCCCGCCCCCTTGTCAAAAATACTTAACCCGAACCCTCAGGCCCAGACCTGGTGCTCGATCCCTGTCCAAACCCGCGGTCTCCGCCTCAGTCCACAACCCTTGCCCCTAAACTCAGCCCACTCCTGCCTGTCTGCCTTCTCCGCCTCCCTCAGTCTCTGTACCTTTCTCCTCCCCTCAGCCCCCGATTTAGATTCCTTCTTTAGACCTTAGCGGTGCTCTGGTCTTTCCTTAACAGCACTCCCTCATGCTCCCCCTCCTTCCCCAAGTGTCGTCGTCTTCCGTCCACTCCCTTTGCCTGCCTTCGACCCCCACTTCCATGCCACTACTCTGTTCCCAGAAAGTCTTTCTCTTCTTCCGCCACCTACTTTCATCTCCAGACCCCTGCAGCCCCTACCCACCCCCTCGGATGACCCCTGGTTTTAGCTCTTCCCCCTCCTTGAGCTCCAGCCCCAGCTGCTCAAGGTCTGCCTCCAGACCTTATTTCAAACACTCCATTCCAAAACCTTTCATTCTTGATTCCAGCTGCTTAAACACAGAAAACCCCTTTCGTAGGGATGCTCACTCCAGAATCTCCCAGTGGGGTTTCTCAGAAGCCCAAGCTGCTGGATCAGAGTTGTTCAGGATACACCTGAGCATCTGGCTCACAGTTCTGCAGCCTCACTTTCCCTCCCCGAAGCTGATGTTCAGGATCAGCTCTGTCACAAGCTTGTTAGGTGACTTTGATTCTGCCCATATGGTTTCTCCAGCCCATATGACACCCCTCCCCTCATCCCTCAGGTTGAGGCCGCAGACTTGGCCTCACCACGATGTGGCACGAAGCTCGGAAGCATGAGCGGAAGCTTCGAGGCATGATGGTGGACTACAAGAAGAGGGCAGAGCGGAGGCGGGAGTACTATGAGAAGATCGTGAGTGACCTTTAATCTGGGCTGGGAGCTCTTCCAGGGGGTGGGGCCCTGGTCATCCTGGTAGAATTTGGGCTGGGAAGTACACCGAGACATAGAGCCCAGTTTCCCAGTTTCCGCAAGGGAATTTTCATTTTTTGAGCATAATGGTTGATAAGAACCTGAGGGATTTTGTTGATTGTAGCATACTGCATTGTTTGGCGTGGGCGCAGAGTACACAGCCAGTGTCAGCAGGAAGGAGGAAAGTCTTTGTAACACTCAGAGCAGTCCAGACATAAGATTGGCCACCTCCAGAATGGTGTCTGTCTTGCTTATTGCTGAATTTGCGGTCCCCAGAAAGTGCAGCTTTTCTTCAGGTTTGCCTTGGCACCCCGAAGCCGTGCCATCCATATTCATTAAGTGAGTGGACTCTGACCAATTTCCCTCTCCTGTTTAAATGCTTCAGTTGCCTTTGGAGAAAAGATCACATTCCATCCTGTGACCTAAAAGGCCTTTGTGATCTGACCTCTACTGGCCTCTCAGCTTCATCCTTAGGTAGCTCCACTGGCCTTTTTTCCGTCTCTGTCACCGCAGGGCATTGAGCCTGTAAAGACTCCTCACCTGTTTAACTCCCGCTAGCCCTTGAGGCCCCAGGTTGAAATGGCATTTGTGTACTAGGTTCTATTTTCCTGTTAGGTGGTATTTATATGGACATTTCCATTAAATACCACATCACTGCCCCAGCCCCCTCCTCCCTGGTCTCCTGGCTTCCAGTCCTGCCCCCTCTAATCCACCCTCCTCCAGGGGGCCAGAGAGGTCTTTCTAGAGCACAAAGCTGACCCTGTCCTTCCCTTGCTCAGAACTTCTCCATTGCTCCTTAGTGCCAGGCTCCTCAACACAGCCTGCAAGACCCTGCATGACTTGGCTTTTACCACCCCCTACAGACTCATACCACTCTGTTTTCTGTCTTGTTTCTCTCCTTATGCTATCTGGCCTCCTCACTACCCAGGGCGACTTTATCTAACAAAAAGATATGTGAAGAGTATCCGTTTACCTTCCAAATTATATAGTCCTCTCCAGCCACAGGGCCTTTGCCTTCACTCCTGCTCATCTGTCAGATCTCAATCCTCAGGGAAGTCTTCCCTCATCCCCCATACACAGCTGGGTGTCCACTATAAATATCCCCATCATAGCTCCCTATTCAGCTCTGTAAGAGTGGAGCCTAGTTATATTGGGGTCATGTTTGTATCCCAAGCTTGGGTCCAACCTGATTTGAAAGAATGAATGAATGAAACAATAGCAATAGCAGTTACCATTTTAATTGATCCCTCTTAGGCCCCAGGCTTTGTGAAAAGAGCTTTAGATAGATGCATTTTTTCTTTGAATCCCCACGGTCATCCACGAGACAGGCTGTTATTACCCTAGGAGAGGCCTCTCAGAGCATCTCGCTTGCCTTCTGTCACCCAGGAGGGAACCACTGGGCTTAGGGATGGCCAGTCTCTGGTGATATCAGAGTAACATGCCCCTGAGGGCTGGCCCTGGGTCTGTGTTGGTTATAGTTGAGGCCCCAGCGATGGACCAGGAACATAGTGCTCAGGAATGAATAGCTGCCATTTATGAAGGGCCCATGGTGTGCCAGACCCCATGCCTGCTACTTTGGCACATTCTTTCTAGTCCTTTCAGCAGGCCTGAGAGATTGCTGTTGTTCCTTGTGTTAAAGGTGATACTGATAGTAAGGGCTAACGCTCTTGAGCATTTATGTGTTACCCACTGTGCTGAACACTTGACATGCGTCTCTGCTTCATCAGATCCTCACCCCAGCCTGGGAGGTAGTTTGCTTATCGCCATTTTACAGATGAGCAAACTGAGGCTCAGAGAGTCCTGGCCTACAGTCATGTAACAAGAGAGCACAGCTGGCATTCTAACCCAGACTCTGACCTTTGACCTCTCAGCTATCCACTGGGCTTTCTACTGCAGAAGTAGAAGTTCAGAAAGGTGCAGCAGCTTGTCCAAGGTGACACAGCCAGGAGGCAAAATACCAAAATGGTTAAGCCCTTAGAGTTTGGAGTCACAGAGCTCTGGGTTCAAATTCCAGCTGTTCCTCTTACATATAGTGTGACCTGGGGTAAGTGGCTGTCTCCCTGATCCTGGTTTCCTGTGAAATGATGTATCATGTAAAATCAGATTTGTCTGTTAATAACAGAGACCTAAAACATAAGTGGCTTAAGTAAGATAGAAATTTATTTCCTTTTTGCTTCATAGCCCAGAGGTGGCCAGCTCTGCTCAGGGACCATTTTGTTGTTGAGCTGTGCATGCTTCTCTTCCCAGTGTTGTCTCAAGAGTCTAAGAGGGCTGCTCAAGCCATCATGTCTTTATTCCTTCCAGCAGGGAGGAAGGAGGGAGGGAAAAGGGGCCAAGGTGCTTATGCCAGTTGTTAAGAAAGTTTCTAATTGTTTGCACGTGACACATCCACTCATATCTCGGTGGCTGAAAAGTAGCCCGGTGGTCATGTACAGCTGCAAGGAAGGCTAAGAGGCATAGACTCTCTTCTGGGTGGCCTTGTGCCAGATGTGTTAGAAGTCTTACTACTGTTGAGGAGAGGAGAATGGATATCGGTTGCCAACTAATGGTCTGCCACAGATGGTGGGGACAGGAGCACCTCCTTCCCAGAGCTGTTGGAGTGAAATTGGGCACAAGACCACTGAGGGTAGGCCTGCCCAGGGAAGCTTGCTCAGTGAACGCCAGCTCGGGTGGGACTAAAGTTATTATTGCCAGGTAGAGCTGGAATTGCGTCCAGGTTGATGGATGATGTGGAGGAGAGAAGGCTGGAGTTGTGTCACTCAGAAGGCCTGGGACTCCAGGCTCTCGCCCTTGTTAGCTGGAGAGCTCCCTGAGCTTTATTTCCCCCTTGGGACAGTGGTGATAACCAGCCCCTCTCACTGGGTGACAGGGAAGAGCTTCAATAATAGAACAGTGTCTGTGGGGTGCCTTGTGGTGCAGGCCTGTACAAGAAGCTATTGTCCCCGTACGAGAATGTGATCAGCATTCAGATCTGAGCCACGAAGCTGTGGACTGATGGCTGGGCAGTGGCTGATGGCTGCTTTGAGGAGGGGGTGGGGCTACTCACGCGGGTCTCTCTTCCTCTCTGGCTGAGAGAGGAGGCTGAGGCGAGTGTTTAAGAAGCCAAGGTCCACTGTGGCGGGCTGGACAGGTGTGTCCTGACAGCTGGTTTCTCTGCTCCTGATTTGTTCTTGGTGTCTGCTCTCTCTCCCTAGCTGACCCTGGTCCTGTCACTGCCCCTGCCCTTGTCAGCTTTCTCCTTTAATCAGTGGTTTGGATAAAGAAACAGAATTCCCTGTTGGTATGAAAGTGGAAAATAAAACAGGTCTCAGTTCCGGCTTTTCCTTCTTCAGAAGCCTCTGGCTGAACCCCCAGGCTAAGTGATGCATCCCCTGGCTTCCCTATCCTAGCGCTGCCTACTCTAGGTCATCACTGTAGTGGACAGGTGTGTCCCCTACACTGGACTGTGAGCCTTAGGGTGGGGCTGGGGCTGTCTCCGTCACTGCCATGGCCCTAGCACAAGGCCTCGCTCAGAGTAGGTGCCTGCCTAACTGTTGAATGAGTGAAAGGCTCTATGACCTCCTCTGACCCCTCTGATCCTGGAATGATCCAGTGGTTAAGAATAGATTTTGGATCTGGAAGAAATATTTGTACATTCATGATCATTGCAGTATGATTTACCATGGCCAAGATGTGGAAGCAACCTACATGTCCATAAGCTGATGAATCGGTAAAGAAAATTTGGTAAATACATGCAGTGGAATATTAGTCAGCCTTAAAAAGAGATGAAATCCTGTCACATGGTACAACATGGAGGAACCTTGAGGACATTGTGCCTAGTGAAATAAGCCAGTCACAGAAAGACGAATACTGCAGGATTCCATGTGTATGAACTGTTTAAAGTAGCCAAGCCCTTAGAAGCAGCAAGTGGTGGTTGCCAGGAGCTGGGGGTGGGGAGGAAGAAGAGTGGTTAGTAGTTCAGGGGGTATAGAGTTTGTTTTGCAGGATGAAACAGTTCTAGAGATCTGTTGCCCAGCAAGGTGCAAATAGTTAACGCTACCGTACTGTGCACTTAAGAGAGGTTAAGATGG